AGAAGGATCACAGGTTGGCAGGAGAGCACCAGAGGAGCAGCACAATGGAATTCCACCCACTCCAGTCAGTAGGTCAGCTTCACCGGGGGCCCATCTTAAATGTCTCTATACAAACTCATTCAGCATGGGAAATAAACAAGAGGAGTAAGAGACGCACGTGTGTCTGCAGGGCTATGACCTGATTGGCATCATAGAGAGATGGTGGGATGGCTCCTATGACTGAAGCATTGGAATGCTCCAGTCATAGGAGCATACAAGTTCTTTAGGCAGGACAGGCAGAGGAGAGAAGGAAGGGGTGTTGCCCTCTATGTCAATGACTAGCTGGAGTGCATGGAGCTCCACCTGGGAATGAATAAGGAGCTGACCTAGAGCTTATGGGCCAGAATTAGAGGAAGGACAGGGACAGGCGACATTACAGTGGGGATCTGCTACAGGCCACCTGACCAGGAAGACTAAGCGGATGAGTGCCCTATAGACAGACAGGAGCAGCTTCAAATTCACAAGGCCTGGTCCTTATGGGGGTCTTCAATCACCCAGATATCTGTTGGAAGGACAGAACAGCAGGGCTTAAGCAATCTAAGAGGTTCCTTGAATGCATTGATGACAACTTCCTTCTCCAAGTGCTTGAGGAACTGACGAGGAGAGGTGCTATGCTGGACCTTGTTCTCACCAACAAGGAAGGGCTGGTGGGGAATGTGAAGCTCAAGGGCTTCAAGCTCCTTCACAGAAGGAAGAGAGGCCCAAGGAATCTGGTTAATATTCAAGGATGGCCTCCTCCAAGCCCAGGAGTGATTCATCCCAACAAAGAGGAAGTCAGGCAAAAACATCAAGAGTCCTGCATGGATGAACAAGGAGCTCCTGGACAAACTCAAAGACAAAATGGAAGCCTATGGAGGGTGGAAGCAAGGGCAGGTAGCCTGGGAGGAATACAGGGAAATTGTCTGAGAAGCCAGGGATCAGGTTAGAAAAGCTAAAGCCCTGGCAGAATTAAATCTGGTCAGGGATGTCAAGGCCAACAAGGAAAACTTTTATAGCTACATTGGAGATGAAAGGAAGACTAGGGAAAATGTAGGCCCCCTCTGGAAGGAAGCGGGGGACCTGGTCACCCAGAATATGGAGAAGGCTGAGGTATTCAACAACTTTGCCTCAGTCTTCACCAATAAGTGCTTGAGTCACACTCCTCAAGCCACAGAATTCAGTGGCAGGGACTAGGAGAATGAAGAGTCACCTACTGTAGTATAAGACAAGATTTGAGAGCATCTGAAGTACCTAAAGGTGCACAAGTACATGGGACCTGATGAGGTGCATCCACAGGTCCTGAGAAAACTGGTGGATGGAGTTGCCAAACCATTATCCATCATATCTGAGAAGTCCTGGCAGTCTGGTGAAGTTCCTATGGACTGGAAAAGGGGTAACATAACCCTCACTTTTAAAAAGGGAAACAAGGCAGATACAGGGAACTACAAGCGGGTGAGTCTCACCTCTGTGCCTGGCAAGATCATGGAGCACTTCTCCTGTGAGGACAGGCTGAGAGAGTTTGGGCTCTGGGGAGACCTTCTAGTGGCTTTCCGGTACCTGAAGGGTCCCACAGAAAGGCTGGGGAGGGAGATTTTACAAGGGCAGGGAGTGACAGAACAAGGGGTTATGGCTTTAAACTGCAATGGGGTCATTTTATACTAGATATTTGGAAGAGATTCTTTACTGTGAGGGTGGTGAGACATTGGAACAGGTTGGCCAGAGAAGTTGTGAATACCTCCTCCCTAGAATTGCTCAAGGCCAGGCTGGGTGAGGTTGGTCAGGCTGGTCCTGTGGAAGGTGTCCCTGCTCATGTCAGGGGGGTTGGAACTAGATAATCTTTAAGATCCCTTCCAAACCATACTATTCTATGATAGTATGATCCTCCTGATATTGGCTCATTACCTGTCACTACAACATTGGATTGATTTTATCTGTTTAGAATCAGTGTTAAAATTTTGACGTTAAGAAATTTTTTTTGCATGTAGGGTCACCAGCATTTGACATTAGGTGACCTCTCTCCCACAACCAGGACAAGAAGTCTGCCAGGAGCCAATGGTCAAACTCAGATACACAGTGTCACCCTCCAGAAGAGTGCTTCCCCTCCCTCTGCCCTACACAATCCTGGTGTTTGAGGGAGAGTCTACTCCGTGTTATGCTCATGGAAGAGATTCTAGACTAGCCCATGGCAGCCTGTGCTGTGTCAGCAGGAGGATGCACCCACAGACCCATGGCCCAGACATCTTTGCTAACACATAGACCTCTCTGCTTCTAAGTCTACCCAGACATTGATATGATCCTCTCAAACTCAGATCCCCCTGTCTTCTTGGGAACCAAGGTATTTGGCCCTATCCTTGTTCTACCCTATAGTCCTCACTGCCCTCCATTCACCTGGAAACTTAGATATCTGCAACCCAGCGATTCCACTGTTTTTAGAATACAGTTTATTTGGACTCCCACTGCTCTACCCCACTGACTTGGCACACAAACCTTTCCTCTCTTGCTTTGAACTTGTGGTCCCTCTGTTTTGCCTTCAGAAACCCCAGGCATCCAGATTTCCCTTTTCTCCATCCTTAAGTCTAATCTTTAGACTTCCCTGCCTTCACAGGTCTGTGGGCACCTTCTGGGCCATTGTGCAGTAGGACTTGTGAACTGGGGCAAAGGGGAGGGCTGCAAAAGGGAATGGAGCAGAACACAGTACTACCTTGTGAATAGGGGAATGTGAAGAGAGGTTTTCGTAACTACAGGAAGGGTGTGGGGCTCTGGGGCTCTGTGCTGGCTCTGTGTTTTTTTCTGTCCCCTCCAAGTGGCTAACATGGTCCCTTCTCTGTGCAGGTCTTGTCACCCCTCATGTCATGCAAAGATGCTGCTATGTAGCCTTCTGGAAAAAAGCAGCAAATTCAGCAAGCTGAGATATGGGACGAGAAGAGTGATCTATGTCTGGGAAATACAATCTCACTCTCCCACCCACAGTCCCCACAGCCCCTGTACTAGGAAGTGGATGGGCCTAGCAAATGGTAAAGTCCCTGCAGTGGATGTTCCTGTGGTCCCCATGGCACGGCAGATGTGGTGGGGAAGGAGGTCAATGTGACCACTGCATACTCGGTGGCAGGGGATCTCTATGGCCATTAAGGCTCCTTTCCATTTTCCTGGTGAGGAGGGGGTGCTGACACATTGTCACCTCACAGTGTGTCCCTTAAAAAAGCAGATTCTGTTTTTTTCGTTTCTTGTATCTCTACCTAGGCAGGCAGCTCCATGATTGATTACTTTGGTCAACTCTCTTGCTAATTTCTCCCTCCTCAACATTCACATTGCTACTGTGCCAGATCTTGTTGGTTATGGTGACTCACAGCTTCAGACCTTGTGAGTCTGAACAGAGACTCAGAGACCTGAGTCAGAACAGAACACTTCAGAATAATCCAGGAAAGCAACCTGTGGAGGCCATGTTCATCTTCCACATTGTCATTGATACTGCTGACTACTCCTTTCATGCTTACATGACACACAGTTAAAACTGCACGTAAGAGAAGAAAGTGACCTAGAAAGGGATATTACAGGATGGAATTTGGGTGGAAAGGGATGCTATAGAGTGTCAGAACAAAGCCAATGTGGTGCAGACTGGATGGAAAGCCTGGGAGGAAGGATGCGCAAGATTGTGGGTAGCCCTTGGTCCCTTCTGGCCATGATTTTTTTCCTGTGGCAGGCACAGGAATTGAGTGGCAGTCAACCAGTACATGTTGGTGCTTGGGAAGACTGAGAGGAAGGCTTGAGAAATTTTATGATGTAGGTGGACATCCTGTAGCCATACCATTGCAATTTTGGGTGTTGCTTGATTCCAAATTATGGTAGAAGGGAGCCAAGCATTTGGAGTGAAACAGGACTTTGAAAGGAGATGTCTTTCTGTAGCTACAGTGAAGCCTCAGGGGCTGTTTCTGTCCTTGTACAGATATGGAAATGTGTAGTCCGCAGCTGAATGGAGTAATGCAGTACTTTTGGGTACTAGCAGGGTTTTATCTGTTTCCTTTGCTAAGCACAAAGCTGCTTTTTTAGTCACAGCTGTGCAGTGATAAAGAGAGGGATCCAAGACCCATTGTTTGTCAGAACTGATGTCTTCCCACAGGAAACTGCTTCTTTCACAGGGAAGATTCAGGTGAGAAGTAGAGTTTGCTTAAAATAGTAGCTCTAATTCACTATGTCTTTTCTCTTCCAGCCAACCAGCCAACAAGTGCTTAGAGTTGTCTCTCTGTAATACTGTTTTTTTCCTTTGACATCTCTGAATTTTTCTATCCTGCCACCGCCCATAAAAGGGCAACTCCTGACCCAGTCACGTCCTTCTCAGATGACCCAACATGAGAAAATCTCTATATTTCAGCCCTCAGTCATTTTACAGCTATAAAGCAAATGCTTCATATGAGATTCGAGAGGAAGGAAAGGAGAGAAAGGTTGTAAATAGGCTGGCGAGTGGAGATTGTAAATAGGGTGGAGTCAGTCTGAAGATCCTGAGATGACTTTAGGTTGGTACTGGAAACCCAAGTGATTGCCCCCTGGATGTTGTGATGCTTCTGTTTCTGACAGACTGGGTAAATGGTTTTGAAACACAGTTGTATGTACTTGCTGGCTTGACTGGAAGAAGCTGAGGAAGAGGAGGAACAGTATTTCCAGCTAGCAGGGATTGAGATCTGCATTGCATGCTGCTTTCACCATCTTGCCCAGCCTGTCCCAGAGAGTGTCATCTCCTCATTCTCACACTTAGACATTCTATCCTGTTCCCAGGAAGGCTGCACATACAAGCAAGTTGGAACATGATTTTATTGGTGGCCAGAAAGTAGAGCAGGCATTAGCACAGCTGGGCAGCAGTATTATGAAAGTGTACATGCCTGGGACCTGCATTTTGGGAGGATCCCTGACTTCATTTCAGCTGCCCTTGGAAGCCTCTGAGCATCAGCAGATGCTTGATGCATTGTGGAAATGGCGTACCGAGCATTTTAGTCAGAGGAGGGAGAGTCAGGTAGGTCTTGAGGCACAGACTTCCTCAGCTCTTCACGTATCCAGGGTTCAAAGTAGGAGACTCTGGTAAATACTTTAGGGAAGGTGTGATTTCTGTGTCCATAAGAAACAATGCCGTGAGCCTTCCCATTGCAAACTAATGGGCCACCAGAATCACCCTGTGAGGTAAAAGGAGTGGGAGGGGTCAGACATGTCAGAGCACATCTTCTCCTGCCCTAAGGAAGAAACTGTCCCTCTTGCCTCCCTCCATGTGAAGAACCTCCTCTTTCAACCATCTCCCTCCAGACCCAACTGCCTTACAACTCCTCTAGGCCCATTCATGAAGCAATTCAGGCTCCTGAGAGGAGCCTCAGCACATTGTCCTCAAGAATCTAATTCATTTTAATCCCCTTGATCTCCTACATGAGAACCAACCTGACTGTTTAATCCCAACCTCATTCCATGCTCGGAGCCCAAAACAACACTCACACAGTAAGTTGATTTTTTGCCATCCTTATCACCAGCGCAGATCTTAGATTGCGACAGATAGCTCTTTTTGAAAGACTTCTTACAGAGTTCCTCACTCTGTACCTTCAGGTCCACCTCCATCAGCACACTAGTCTTGTCACCCGTCATCGATGTCTCTCCCCAGCCAGCCACTTTGCATGTAGTTCCTGGTTCCACACTTTCATTGTGACTGGGCAAGGTGATACGACTCACTTAGTCATCTTGGCCCTTGGCTTTAGCTGCCAAGCAGAGAGAACATAGGGTTAGAGCAGGCAAAGGAATGGGAACAAGTTCATGGGGCTGGGGAAGCGAGCACCAGGAGATCCTTCAGTCAGCAAGGATGTGTGAGAGAATACCTTCAAGCAGCATGATGTCATTTTCAAAGGTATCTCTTGAATAGCTGGGGTGGATGACCCAGTGACCAACATGGAACTTCTGCTGGCTCAGCTCTTTCTTACTTCTGTTGTGGGCTCCCAGGGTCACACTGATAGTCACTTTCCTGCCAGGAAACACCAACATGTTCCAGCTGCAGTGACCACAGTGATACGGCCCCTGTGGCAGGTGGTTTGAGGGAGTGGGTGGTGGGATACACCTCCCCAGAGATTAGTTCTAGGCAAGTTGCCCCCTGTATCCTGGGTTCCTTATACAATTTATCTGAAGGGCCCTTACGCCATGCTGATGTAGGTCTGAGGTATCCCATTCTGAAGACAAAAGAGAAGCAGGGAATAGGAGACACTGTCTCTCTTCTCCAACAATAGTTGTGACCCATGATAGGAACCATGGACCAGGAGACCACTGCCAAGGAGTCCTGTCCCCAGGGGCACACAGCCCCTGACAGAAAGTTCCTGCAACTCACAGGGGGTGACTCATCTCACAGAGAGCCCTGCTGTGCCTGAAGAGACATAGAGTTCTCTTTCACCTCCAACCAGGACTCTGGCTCTTCATGACTATGTGAGACTTGAAAATAACCCATGTACAAGAAAGACAGGGCCTTACCCTTTTCCAGCCACACAGTGAGCTGCTGAGAGCACTGCATCTTGGCGAAACAAGAACCCTCCACATAGGTATATACCTGACTCATTTCTAATTGATAAAGAAGCCATGTAGGGCCTGGAATGGGGCTTAGCTTCGCGTCCACCAATGATCCTTCCTGAAAGAGAGATGAGAAGTGTTAATATATCATATGCTGCTACATCCCACCATGTTCGGAGCTTCATGAGGAGAGAGGGTCACCCTCTGATGTCATACACCAATGATGCCAATAACTCTCGTTCCTTGGGCTGTCCAATGCATTGCTTATGCACGATGGATAGAAAAACAAACACCACTTCCCAAGGATGTCTGACCACTCCTGACTCTGTGTGACTAAAATGCTGTCAAAGGGCACTACACTAGTACCTGTAATGTGTCACTGGTTTCAGGCACAGTCTGGGCAAAGATATATAAATAGAGAGTAGAGATACGAGAAAAGGCAAGGCAAGTACCAGATAGGTTTCCTACTCAGTGCCCATTTCTGCCCTTGCAGGTCCTCAACTAAATCCCATCTCTCTGTACTCACCAGCCCCAGTCCATGGGATAAGGAGAAAAGCACTTGTGAGCAGGAGAAGCAGCATCTTCTACCACTGTCTTGAAGAGCCAAGACAGTTATGGCCAGGGAGGAGGCAGGTACAGAATAACAGTTTATACATATGAAATTTGGGGCTGAAACAGGAAACCTCAGCCTGCTATCAGCTTGTGTAATTTGCTGCTTTTGTTCTCACTAACTTCAAGCTGTGGTTTGTTGAGTGGTTCATGTCACCATCTTCTCCAAAAACTGGAGAAATACAGGCTTGTTCAGAGTACCCAGAGTGTCCAGTACCCAGGCAGCAGTGAGAGGAGTGGGGTATCTCCAGCTGAGTGCATATCTCATTGGAGACCCTTGCAAAGAGCCTCCTCAGATCCTACATATTGGTTGCATTCAGGGGGTTTTATTTTTTTTTTTTTCCCTGTCCCCTCATAGAAAGTGTGAGAGCTGAACAGGGCCAGGCAAAAGTAGTGGGTCTTATCAGAGGGGCCGACTGTCAACAGCGGTGCCCTTGGGATATCAGAAATCACCTGTCAGAGTAGCTAAGGCCCGGGACCTGCTGGAGACTCACAACTTTGAGAACTAATGTTCTTATCACTAGTGAAAGATATGCTAGTTTTTGATCAGACTTTACTGATGACACAAGGGGATAGACTCATAGGTGAGCAGAGACTTCAAGAGGTCATTTGGTGCAATCTGCTGTTAAAAGCATCAGCTATGAGATGAAAATTGCTCTGTGCATTATGCACTCAGGTCTTGATAACCTCCATATGTCTGGGAGCAACAAAAAGTGTCAGCTTCTTTAGTGAAAGAGAATGAGTAGCCAAAAGAGACAACAAGGAAGGCAGAAACAGTGGCTTAGCCAAAAAGGTCCTAGTCCCACAGTATTCAAGTGAGGAGAACAAGCAAAGCCTGGGGGTAATAGTCAGGGTAAGGTGCGGGTTCAGATGATCGGACAAGTCTACAGTGATGAAGAAAGTCTGAGGTCAAGCTGGGAAGTCTGTCCACGCACCCAGGTCCAGATTAACAGGTTACATGGCCAGGTGCAGGCATGGCTGAGACACAGTTGGATTTTAAAGTTTTCTGCCTGTGTGTGAAACTAAGGAGGCACAAGTTCAATGAGAAACCTGAAGCATGATCATTCCTACAGGACACAAGGGAAAGAATACTGCAACCTCTACAACCAAAAGAAAGTTGAAAGGATACAAAAGACATGGAAGGGCTGGATTAACATGCAAAATCTCCTTTCCCATAATTTTGGATTTGTGTCACTTTCCTACAATCTATGGCATGTCAGCTGGGCTTGGCTCTTTCACAGGAAGATATTTGCTTTGCCAGCACCTTTTTACCCTCTCCTGGCTGCACCACAATGTGCTTTAAGCATCAAAACCATGCAGGAAAATCTGACTGCTCAGAGGTGGAAGACTGGTTAAAGGTTGGTTGAAGACCAACGTCTTGTCTGAGGGCCAGCAACCACAGCAGGGACCATAAGTCATGGGGCCCCATGTGTCTGGTGTGCCCGGAAATAGAGAGGCCAGCCAACCTGCCTGAGTTGGGTAAGAGACTTGTAAACTAGGTATGGAAGTGGCCTAAATTTTGGCTGGGTACCAGACATACTCCAGGGTTCAAGGGCTGGTTAGTGGAGGGACGAGCAGGACCAAGCCAAACACTGCAGACACCTTGAGGTCTGGAAACCACCTGAGAGACCCGTTTGCATTTGTGTGGCTTTATGCGTGAAGCAAGTGGAGACAGGAGGATCCAAGGGCCAGCTACTGAGCAGGCTGAGTGTCTGAGGCTGGTTACTGGGGGGATACATCACACACACATCTGTGGATGTGTTTGAGTGTGCAAGTCAGTCTGTGTCCCAGCAGCTGAAGTGGGGTTGGGGCCTCAGGATTTTCCAACACAGGTGCCAGCAACTGTGATCCAGGGTGGATACTGGTTCATTTTTCATTCTGAATAGATATGAGGAAATAAAAAAAAACCTTGGACATTATGAACCTTTCTTATCAAAGCCACGAAAAACCTGACAGAAATTCAGAGCTGGCTCAGCCATGAATGAGAGCTGAACCTTCATAGACCTGTTCCATAATTCCAGCCTAACTGTCCCGTACCCTCACCTTCTACACATTGTTCAAGAGCAGAGAGCAACAGTATCGCAGAAGACACAGGCTTTACAGTTTCTTCCACTAAAACATATTGTTCATTTGTGGTTAAGCTCAAGACTGGTGAGGATGATTAAGGAGGGGAGTGTTTTGCAGTCTGGATGAGGTCAAAATTCTATGGTAAGGTCTGTCCTGAGTCACAGATATTATCTGCATTATTTCTAGCTACTGAAGTCAAATGTAGATGAGGGAACTGACGAAGTTACAGTTTCAACTTTCTTTAGAGTTTGCTTCTTTGTTAGTACCCTTCTGTGCTGCAAAAGTCAGTGTTTGAACCAGCAAAAGACAAGAAATAGCATATGGGCACCTTCTGTCTCTTTAGAATGGGCAACGTGACTTGGCTCTCAGAGAGTACTTTTCTTCCCAAATGCCTTTTCTTTCCTGAAAGTTGAAATCAAGTGTAGGGTTTCAGGCAATCCCAGACTTTCAGTTGTTCTTTAATGAATACATCAACACAGATGAACGAGGACTGAATAGGAAGATGGGCAGCTGTGATCCAAGGCTGAGCTCAACTAATGGAATAAACAAAAGCTGAAATTCCTGGACAAAGCCAGGCTGTTATATAACTCACTCATCTATCACTGTACCAGGCTCAGCAGACACTTCCAGGGAGGGGGAAGCCCCAAGTACTTCTCCTCAGGCCTGCTTGCCACTCATTCTCTGCCCAGCCTGTATTTGTGCTTGGGGTTGCCCTGACCCACGTGTAGGACCTTGCACTTAGCCTTGTTGAACTTCATGAGGTTTGCACGGGCCCACCTCTGCAGCCTGTCAAGGTCCCTCTGGATGGCATCCCGTCCCTCCTGCATGTCAACTGAACCAGTCTGGTGTCATCAGCAAACTTGCTGAGGGTGCACTCAATCCCACTGTCCATGTTGCCAAGAAAGGTGTTAAACAGCACCAGTCCCAATATCGACCCCTGAGGGACCCCACTCATCACCAGTCTCCCCTTGGACATCAAACCATTGACCCTAATTCTTTGAGTGCCACCATCCAGCCAGTTCCTTTGAATGGTCCATCCACCTAGTCCATGCCTCTCCAACTTAGAGATAAGGATGTCCTGCAGTACAGTGTCAAACGCCTTGCACAGGTCCAGGTAGATGACATCAGTTACTCTTCACTTATCCACCAAAACTGTGCCTCCATGATAGAAAATCACCAAATTGGTCAGGTACAATTTGCCCTTGGTGAAGCCTTTCATATTTGCAAGTGGGGCTCCTATAGGTGGTAGGGGCAGACTTAAATGTATTCATAGCCCTCCTCTAATTTTTAGATTGTTTCTCCTATTTTTACACCAGACAATGAACCATCTGGAAAGCAGTTCTGAAAATCAGAGAGCTTGGATGTGAATATAAAACAAATGGTCAGCAAGCTCAGAAATATTGGAGACACATGCTATTTCTCTCCTATAGGGTGTTGTGTTTTTTTTGTAGAAATGCTTACACATTAATTTGTCCAAGGAAAGAAATTGCCCTAATAGGTCAGCAGCTAGGGCATTCACTTACATGACTGTCTCAGGATGTTGGAAACTTTCTCTCCTTTCCAGGGAAAAAGACTAACTTAGGTTCAGATGAAAAGTTTTCGTTAGTCTGATATTTCAGTTTCACTTAATAATTGACAAGAGGCTGATTATGTTTTATTAAAAATCCTGTATTTGTTCACAGATGTTCTGAAAGACTTCTTCACATTGTTGTTTCTCAAACCGTAGATGAGAGGATTGACCAGTGAAGTCAGAACTGTGTGGCAGACAAAAAACACTTTGTTGAGGTCTCCCAGTATGTGTA